GGCTCACGCCTGTAATGCCAGCCCTTTGGGAGGCCGAGGCAGGTGGATCATGAGGTCAGCAGATTGAGACCATCCTGGCTAACACGGTGAAACCCCATCTCTACTAACAATACAAAAAAACTAGCTGGGCGTAGTGGCGGGCGCCTGTAGTCCCAGCTACTCAGGAGGCTGAGACACGAGAATGGCGTGAGCCCGGGAGGCGGAGCTTGCAGTGAGTCGAGATGGTGCCACTGCACTCCAGCCTGGGCGCAGAGTGAGACTCCGTCTCAAAAAAAAAAAAAAAAAAAAAAAAAAAAAAGAAAAGAAATAATACAGTATCTGGGATCTGCTCTAAAAATAATTCAATAGACGAGGAAGGAGTTAATGGGAGTACTAATAAAACAAGATTGGCCATTTGTTGGTATTTGCATAAGCTGGATGAAATGAATTCATTTTACTGTGCTCTTTACTTTTATGAATGTTAAAAATTTTCTATAATAGGCTGGGCACAGGGCTCATGCCTGTAATTCCAACATTCTGGGAGGCCGAGGCAAGTGGATTGCTTGAGCCCAGAAGTTCAGAAACATGGTGAAACCCCGTCTCTACCAAAAATACAAAATTAGCCCGTCTTATAACTTGGTTTCAAAATAAATGAATAAATAAAATAGATTTAATTTTTTTTTAATTTCTATAAAAGTTTTTTCAATAATAATAAAAAGTGCTTACAACACTGAAATAACTCTCCACTGCCCTGGGGATAAAGTTTAAATTCCTTAACATGGTTTGCCAAGAAAGCCTTTCATTATCTGTCCTCCTGCTTAACTCTCCAGTTCATCTCTCACTACTACCTACCTCACAGCCCAACCTCCAGAAATGACAAGTTGCTTACTCTTGTCTCCTTCAAAAAACTTTTATTCCCTTTGTCTCAAGCACTTTTCCCTTTTTGCTTACATGGCTAATCTCTACTCGTCATTCAAGTCATAACAAACCTGCTTCTCCAAGGAAACCTTTCCTAACCCTCCAAGACTGAGTCAAGTAGCCAGCCCACCTATGTATCCCCCTGTGCTTCCTCTATCACAGCTCTTATATGGTATGTCCCCCAACATTTTATAGGTACCATGAGAGCATGAACAATTTCCATCTTATTTGCCACTTTAACCCCACTTCTTAACAAAGTGCCCGGCACACAGTAGGTACTCTGTAACCTTTCAAAAATTAACAAAAGGCACAAATTCCTCTAACTTTCTAAACTTTCAACTCCTCATAGATCTATACCTCCCCCAATTTTCCTTCCTTCCACATCTTCTTTTGTGATTATGAGCCACATAAACAATTGGTTGCTCACATAGTGTTCCCAAATTTATATCCTTAGCTCTCCCTGGCCATTTCATCTAATAAAAATTCAACTAATAAATTATGTGCTATATTCCAACAGATCTTCATCTCCAGGCCTGCCCTCATGGTTCCAAATACCTTCTGGACATAATCTCCTGTTACCTTCCACACACACCTTAATACTAGAGCTGCTTAGAAATTCTCAATATTCTCTTAATGCACCTTTTGTTCTCAAGTTTCCCAATCTGTGCATATCCTTTCCCATTACCTGAAATGTCCTTCCCCTCTTCTACCTTTATCCTTTCAGTCTCAGCCCAAATGTCTCTCTGGCCTTTTCCAGGCAATGTTCCCACAGTACTCGGTTCTTTTTTCTATTGCAGAATTTGGCATATTGCTTTGAAATGATGTTTAGGTATTTGCTCTGCTAGACTGTGAGTTCCTACATGGGAGAATTACTTCCCCTTCATGCTTGCACTCCTATCACATATAGTACAATGCCTGTTATAGTCAGCCCTAAATAAATGCTTGCTGAATGAATTATAGTATATTAGATTTCTAATAAATAAGAGAGAGAGAGCTAGAGCTGAAAAGAGTGCCCAAATCTACTTTCCTAAAGGAAATAATCAGTTTCCCTGTTCCCGTATTGGGCAGAATAAAAATATAACAAGCTCTTTTTCAAAAACTAAAGACTCACAGATTATTAAAACAAAAGAAATTATGAAACAAAATAAAAGAATAAAGACCATTCCATCTGCTGATACCAAGTCTGGTGAGGACACAGGCTGAAGTGAGGTTTGTGTAAATCTATTCAGTTCACAGCAATCGCAATGATCCTAACCCAATCCTGAGATTATCTCAATAACAATTCTCAGTAAGGCCAACTCTAAAACAAGGTCACTCTAGTTTAGTTCAGGGTTTTCAGGACCACCCTAGAATATATACAACCACAGAGACAGACTACAAGTCAAGTGATTTTGGAAACAAGAATTAAAGGTATGCTATTTACTGCCTTGCTTGGAAGGCTACACAATTAATTCAGATATTCTTCCTGGAAGATGTAGCTCCAAGTTATTAGCCACATGCAAATCAATAACATGTACCTTCAAATCCTTCAGAATCCAAACGGACTGAAATAATGTCATATGTGTAGAATTCACTGCCAAAATCCAATGTGTCTCCTACCTTCCGTTTTAAATAAATATCTATCCTTTTCCCATCTTTACTAGATCTCTTCTAATTTGAGATTGGCTATCATTTTATTTTCACAAGATGGTACAATTCTCTGTTGTTTCTCTGTAAGCAAATACTTTAATATCAAAGAACTAGAAAAGAAAAAAAAAATTCTAAACAGTCATTAGTGAGAAATACGATACTTCCTTTCTCTGGCAAGGATAATGTTTTAGGGAATCTAGTCTCAAAAAGAAGGGTAAGTATTGAGGGGGAAAAAAAGTATTTTTTTTAAACCCTATATTTAGCCAGTAAGAAAGGAGATATTTGTCCAAGTATTCAAAAACTAAAAGGGCAATAAAGCAGAAAAAGGATACATGAAAGGAAGAAAAAGAGGAAAAAGGAAGATTCTTTCTGGGCTAGGCATTCCCAAGAACCTCAGCTTGGGGGCCTCTCCAGTATGGTCCTAGATTCAGATCCACACAAATTTGGGATTTGTAAAGTAACTTAACTGCATAGTGCCACTCACTGAAATCACTCTATCTTGAATAGAGTTTATGGGATTTTCTGATTATCACATCTACTGAAACCCCATTATTACTTTTCCTTTATCTAAGCCATGGCTTTCATTAATTCCAGAGTTTTCAGGATATAATATTCAGTTGCCTCTCTTTCATGCCTACCTAAAGACAATCTTCAACAATGTGTTTAAGACTCATTAAGGTTTAGTCTTTTTTTCCCTTTAAAAACTATGTAAAGAAAGAAAGCTGACAGTTGAAGGATGATGAAAGTAATACTTTCACTTTTGCAAGCTTGCCTTTAGTAACTCACAACTTACACCTTTCTCCTTCCTGTAGTGAAAGTGAAGTTTAGTAGAAAAAGTCAATAATTTGGTATCTTGATTCCATCACTTAGTACTATGTGATGTTGGGCAAATTGCTTTAAAAGCCTGGAGCCTCATTTTTCAAAACTCTTACTGGGGATATTAAATGGAGATAATGAATAACCACCTTGCAGAGTCATTAGGAGTGAAATGAATTAAAGGACTCACTAAGCTACTATATAAGCTCCAGAGAAGAGGAACAGTAAATGTCTTTATTACTGTTGATTCTTGCTGGCATGAAAACGTACATAGCAGCCCAATGATATTTTTTAAATGAACAAATAAATTCAGTGTCCCCTTTCTCTCATCAACATTAACCCTTCTTCCATAATCATACGTTTTTCTTTCTGTCTTCTATTATTTTCTAAAGCTTTCTGGGCATTCTATTTTGTCCTTTTAAGTATTTTCTTCCCTCATATCAGCTATCGTTAACTATACACCATTCGGAGAAAGTACCTTTCTAAGTAAGTTACCTCCCTAATACCACCCACCCTCCATATCGAATGCGATGAGGGTGGAGGGGATAGTCAAAACATAAGATTCAAGGCCGCACGCGGTGGCTCACGTCCGGCAGCACTTTGGGAGGCCGAGGCGGGTGGAACACCTGAGGTCAGAAATTCAAGACCAGCCTGGCCAACATGGTGAAACCCCGTCTCTACTAAAAATACAAGAATTAGCTGGGTGTGGTGGCACATGCCTGTGATCCCAGCTACTCGGGAGGCAGAGGCAGGAGAATCGCTTGAACCCGGGAGGCAGAGGTTGCAGCGAGCTGAGATTATGCCACTGCACGCCAGCCTGGGCGACAGGGCGAGACTCCGTCTCAAAAACAAAAAACCACACACACACACACAAAGCAAAACAAAAAACCACATGAGATTCATAGCAATTCATCTACTTGTCCATAGCCACCAACTCATGTTAACAGTGAAGCCCTGAACCCAGAATATAACTATAAGAGGACACTGCACTATCCCTTGTCTCTCTTCGCCGACAAGAGACTCGCGTGTAGGAAATCCTCGGCTCTCAAAAGTTAAGGCGTCGTTTGAGCTCGCCTCCCGCTAAATAGAGGGGTGCGTCCCTTGAATGAGACACACAACCTGAACCGACTGGAGGGATTTCGGACCCCCTGGTGTTGCCCGAGAGCTGGTCACCTTTGGACCTGTCCCGGCTCCTCCGGTCACTCTTCCGAAGACGCAGAGCGCTTCAATCCCTGGAGGGAAGCTAAGGGGTGCGGCCGGCTACCGGGCCTGGTGGGACAGTGTCAAGTCCACGACAACATATGAAGACGGCATGAACCGCACGACTGGACCTTTTAAGCCATGACTACGACCACCCTTACCCACTCACAACCATGCCGGACCCCACTATCGCTTAACAGCGGACCCTAAGAAAGAAACTTGGCTCACCCCCAACCCATAAATCAGACAGCTAGTTTCTATTTATTGGCTGCGCCCCTCTCTCCCTCACCCTCATTGGCTATCCGAGACGTAGAACCCTCCCCAACAAGGGAACCCTCTCGTACGGCGGCACCCCCAGACTAGCAATCTCAACTCAGCCACCTAAAACCCCGGTTCCCCACCTCCACCCAGGAAACGCGGCCCCGAGGCGCCTGGAGCTGTGCCCTCCAAGGACTCACCGTGTAGTAGGAAAGCAGTCCTGCATTGTAGTCCAGCACGAACCAACGGTACTGCCAGCCCTTCATCACGTTAGTCCATTTGCTCAGCGGCCCTTCCATGATGGACGCCATCTTGGGAGCCGCCAATGACAACAAACGGCCTGACGTCACTCGCCTATATGGCATTCAGCATGCGGGGGGCGGGGCTACAGGGGGCGGGGCGGGTTCGGGGCGGGTCCTGGGCGGTGCCGGCGGATGCTCCCAGCGATCAAGTCAAACATGCTTTCTTTGGGCGCCTATTGTGTGTAGGACTCCATTGCCAGGGATGCGAGAATGCAAACGCGAATACTGCTATTAAGATTATTTACAATCTATCATGGGATTAGAGTAAAGAAAAAAGATTATGAACATATTAATAAATAATTTTACTGGCCATGATACCTTCCACTTCCAAAAGATTTCATATCTGATATTCATTTATGCATTCATTCCACAAATTCATTCATTTAATAAATATTCGCTATTTTGTGCTAGGCATTCTTCTAGGCATTGGGGATACAACAGAGCCTTCATGACAGGTGAGGGGAATGGTAAAATAAATAGTAAATTATATCATACATTAAAAAATCATACGTAGTCCCAGCTACTCGGGAGGCTGAGTCAGGAGAATGGCCTGAACCTGGGAGGCGGAGCTTGCAGTGAGCTGAGATCCGGCCACTGCACTCCAGCCTGGGCGGCAGAGCGAGACTCCGTCTCAAAAAAAAAAAAAAAAAAAAAAAGGCCGGGCGCGGTGGCTCAAGCCTGTAATCCCAGCACTTTGGGAGGCCGAGGCGGGCGGATCACAAGGTCAGGAGATCGAGACCACAGTGAAACCCCGTCTCTACTAAAAATACAAAAAATTAGCCGGGCGCGGTGGCGGGCGCCTGTAGTCCCAGCTACTCAGGAGGCTGAGGCAGGAGAATGGCGGGAACCCGGGAGGCGGAGCTTGCAGTGAGCCGAGATCGCGCCACTGCACTCCAGCCTGGGCAACAGCGTGAGACTTCGTCTCAAAAAAAAAAAAAAAATCATAAATGCTATGGAGAAAAACATAATCAAGGGAGGAGAGAGCGTTGGGGCTGCTATTTTAAATTCCCAAATTTAAAGGAAGGGAAGGCCTGAATGAAAAGGTAACTTTTAAGCAAAGAGCTGAAGAAAGTGAAGGAGGGAGCCTGGTGGAAGAGCCTTCCAAGACGAAGGAATAGCAAATGCAAAGACCAGATTTTAGGAGTGAGCGTGGCATCTTGAGGGATCAGCAAGGAGGTCAGTGTGCGTGGAGCAGTGAGCCAGGGAGAAAGTGATGGGAGACAAGGACAAAGAAGTAGGGATAGATCACTAACACCCAACGAGGGCAATTTAAGTATTTATTGGCCGGGCACGGTGGCTCGCCCCTGTAATCCCAGCACTTTGGGTGGCCGAGGCAGGCAGATCACTTGAGGTCAGGCGTTCGAGACCAGCCTGGCCAACGTGTTGAAACCCCGTCTTTTCTAAATATACAAAAATTATCAGAGTGTGGTGGTGCACCCTGTAGTCCTAGCTGAGGTACAAGAATCTCTTGAACCTGGGAGGCAGAGGTTGCAGTGAGCCGAGATTGCACCACTGCACTGCAGCCTGGGTGACAGAACCAGATTCTATCTCACACACACACACACAAAAAAAAGGATTTATTGACCACCTACTATATCTAGGCGCTGTTGGAGGTCCTGGGAATACAGCAGTGAATAAGCTGTCTCAGAGCTTAAATTCTGTGATGAAAGCAAACACTAAACAAGTAAACAAGAAAAATATCCAATACTGATTAACACTGCAAATAATTTAATAAATTATTTTAATAAGAAGTCAATGGGTAGCTGATTTATACTGGGTGGTCAAGGCAGGCCTCTTAGGAAGTGGCTTTAAATTTAGATATAGAGGATAAGAAAAAGCCAGCCCTGCAAATATCAAGAGAAAGAGCTAAAAAGGAAACTAAAAGATGAGGCACTAACTGGAAACGGAGGTGTGGTCAAGGGAAGGGCTTTCTTTGTCCTGTTTTAAAATTATTATTTAGATTGAAGACACTAGAGAATATTATTTTCCTGATTTTCAAGAGAGGGAAAAACTGGGGACATCCTAGAGAAAAGAGAGAATAGCAGCAGTGAAGCCCTTCATAAGATTGAGACTACTTTTTATGTTGGCAAAACACTGGAATAAAATACAAAAAAGAAAGAAAGGAAAAGACTGAGACCCCAAGCCCAAGTGCAAAGGTTGACTTTTGATAGTAGCAGAGATACTTCATCAAGAGTAACAAGAAGGAAGAACAGAGAGTATGGGTTCAGATGCCAGTGGGTCAGTAGTTAGATGGTATAGAAAAGAATGAGTTTGTTTCTTTTCTTTTCTTTTGTATGTGTGTGTATGTTTTTTGTTTGTTTGTTTGTTTTTTAAGACAGAGTTTCACTCTTATCGCCCAGGCTGGAGAGGAGTGGCGCGATCTCGGCCCACTGCAATCTCCACCTCCCTGTTCAAGTGATTCTCTTGCCTCAGCCTCCCGAGTAGCTGGGATTACAGGTGCTTGCCACCATGCCTAGCTAACTTTTGTATTTTTAGTAGAGACGGGGTTTCACCATGTTGGCCAGGCTGGTCTTGAACTCCTGACCTCAGGTGATCCACCCGTCTCGGCCTCCCAAAGTGTTGGGATTACAGGTGAGCTACTGAGCTGGGCTGAGTTTCTATTTCTAGTTGAGAAGAGGCTCAAAGCTTAGTAGTTAAGAATGTGGATCCTGGTGCCATAGTACCAGAGTTTTAATATCCAGAGTCATCACTTAGTAGCTACATGGCCTTAGGCAAGTTTGCTAACTTCTCTATGCCTCAGTGTCCCCTTCTTTAAAATGTGAGTAACAACAGTAGCTGTCTACGAAGGTTGTTTCAAGGATTAAGTGAGCTCCTGTGGGTAAAGAGCTTAGATGAGAGCCTGGTAGATAGTAAGCACTCTGTTAATATTAGCTCTTATTCTGCAGTTATACAGGCAACAGGAGAAATACATAAATAAATAAGTAAATAATTATTAGTTCTTAGAATTTTCCCAAAGAAATGTGGTGTGGGCCGGGCTTGGTGGCTGACACCTGTAATCCCAGTGTTTTGGGAGGCTGAAGTGGGAGAATCGCTGGAGGCCAGGAGTTTGGGACCAGCCTGGGCAACATAGCGGGACCCCATCTCTACAAAAAAAATAAAATTTAAAACTAAAAACGTTTGTTGGCTATGGTGGCACACATCTGTAGTCCTACCTTCTCAGGAAACTGAGGTAGGAGGATTGCTTGAGCCCAGGAGGTCAAGACTGCAGTGAGCCAAGATCACGACACTGCACTCCAGCCTGAGTTGGATGTCAGAGTGTGACACTGTCTCTACAAGAAATTTGGAAAAGAAGTAAATAAGAATATATCTCTACAAGAAATTTGAAGAAGAAGTAAATAAGAACATATCTGAAAGGGATTACAGTCAAAAAAAATGAGCATCCTGTTTCTCCTTTCCTTTCTTTTCCTTGGGATAGTCTCTTTTCTATAGATTACAATTTAATAAAGGTTTCTGGGGATAAGGAAGATGTTTGGCATCTTCGAGAAAGCCAGGCCAGGCTCAGTGGCTCATGCCTGTAATCCCAGCACTTTGGGAATCCAAGGTGGGAGGATCACTTCAGCCCGGGAGTTACAGACCAGCCTGGGCAACAAAGTGAAACTCCTGGGCAACAAAGAACAGCCTGGACAACAAAGTGAGACCCTGTCTCTACAAAAAATTTAAAAATTAGTGAGGTTGTGGTGGCACATGCCTGTAGTACCAGCTACTTGGGAGGCTGACGCAGGAGGATTGCTTGAACCCAGGAGGTCAAGGATACAGTAAGCAGAAATCGCGCCACTCCCCTCCAGCCTAGGCAAGGCAACAGATCAAGACCCTGTCTCAAAAAAAAAAAAAAAAAGAAAAAGAAAAAGAAAAAAAAGAGAAGAAAAGGCAAGGCTTGGTTTAAGAGACATGGTTCCTATTCAGGAGCTAACCAGGACATGAAACATGCATGCAACTGAGTGTGGTACAAAGTCATTTCTCTTTCCTTTTGGATATATTTTTTTCTTATTAATTCCACCATTTGTTACCTACCCTATGCCAGGGACTGTGCCAGGAATGTGATATACCTTATCACATTTAATCATCACAATAACCCTGTGAGTATTTTAATCTCCACATTTTACAAATAAGGAAATGAGATTCAAAGAAATGAACAAACTTACCCAGGTATCTTAGACTATTAATTAGCGAATTAACGAGTATCTGAGTCCATATAAACACATATCTGTCTTTTCATCATGCTACATGGCCTCCTCAAAACACACTATACACTTCCTATAGAAACTTGATGTTCCAGACTAATCAGCAGAATGGCTCGTGTTGCTGATGTCTTCTGGGATAAGCAAACTGTGGGAATCTTGAAACATCATGACTCAGATTGAGTTAAAACATTTATATAGTGTTCATTAGTATCCCTCCATTAGCTTCTTAACAGCAGGAACCAGGCTTTATCTTTGTAGCCCTAGAAACTAGCCCAGTTCTTGGCACACAGAAGGTGCTTAATAATTAACGTTTGATCTGAATTATGTGTTCCATTGAAACCGACCAAAAAGTTTCAAGGATTCTGCTAAACTCCATCAGTTACATTGTCTCCTTTATTCCCCTCAACAATCCTTCAAGATTTGTACTATCACACCTGTTTCACATATGAGGACACTGGGACACAGAGTTATTTAGTGGCTTGCCCAAAGTCACACAACTAGTAAATAGCAGAACCAGAATTAGAATCTAGGTCTTTTTATGCCAGATCCATTTCATCCCAGCAGCAAGCTTATCTGCATTGTCTATGTGTAAATGTCTTGATCACTTCTCAGTCTTTTGGCTAAGATTAAGTGTAGTAAATAAATGTCTTGGACATGACACAGGCAATGTCATCAACTTCTAAATCAGTTTTAACTTTCATCAGGGTCACCAGGCATCAGCAGGCTCTACTTAGCTTCAAATGTCAAAACACAGGTGATCAGGGAGAGCCAGGATCAAGTGCCATTCTTGACTCCTAAAACCATGTCCAATTCCACAGCACTTTTTCTACATTCTACACAAAGTGTCAAACTACATGCTTTAGATAATTAGCTGAAGTTACACATGGTGGAGACACATTGGCTGTAGTTCCTACATTCCTCAGTGACTGGCATCTTGTAGAACTGATGTGGCAGCTGATGCAGAGCAGAAAAAGAGGATTAGACTCAGAACTGAAAGGTAGAGTCAATGTTAACCATAAAACATCAAAAACTCATCAAGGACAGGA